AAAAAAAAAAAAAAAAAAGCGGAAAAAATAACTGCGAAACTGAAAAAAATTTTTCTTCCGAATAATGATAGAGGGAAAAAAAAATAAGATAGAATGAAGAAACCTGACTGAAGTCACGATAAAACAATTTGACGACTGACTGTGATAAGCAAATGTGAAGAAGACGAAGGCATTGACAACAATGATGACGATGACGATTGGGAGGGAAACCAAAGAATCAAGATTACCAGTTGCGGTACATTCGTCTACACCTTCCGTTTCATTCAAGTAATCTACTAAATTTTAGATCTCTATACAATAATGATACGAAAAAATGGTAAAAGATAATGGCAGAAAAAAAAAAGAAAGAAATGAAAAAAAGGAAAAAGGTTTTGATAAAGTCCGAACAAAAAATAAACGATAACGATGGACAATAACAGATTTTTTTTTTTTTTTATTTTGGAGACTGACACGAAGTAAAACTGATGCACTGAACAACAGCAATCGGAGTAGCTACGGCTCAATGCCGAAGAAACAAAAAAAAAAAGTTGTTCAAACACAAAAAAAACTTTTTTTAAGAAGATGAAGAAGGAGAAGAAACTTTGTAGATGGAAAAAATTTTTTATGGCAATGAGACGCCAAATTGCTGTTGCTGTGGTCGATGCTGGTGGTGGCGGTAGCGGTGATGCTGCCGTTGGTGGTAGTGGTAATGGTGGTGATGGTGATGATTGTGATGGTGCTGTTGCTGTTCCTGGTAACTGCCGACGCTGATGTTCGGCTTGGCCATGGCCTGGCTTGCTTGTATCAACGGCATCACCACAGCTATAAGATCATTTGGAGCCAGGCCATCATCATCATTTTCGACGTTCCACTACCATCATCAAATACTGCTTTTTTCCAGGGGGACGAGACACCACATACAACACAGACAGACAGCATTCAGCAACTCTCCTCATACATACACAGAACTAAACCACACACAGCAGCACAGCAGCACAGCAGAGCACACACAAACGCAACAGAGGCCGCCGAGGACTAAGTAGCGTCCTAAAGCAGCGCAACACAACCTCCAGATGTTGTTCGGTACATCACCGGTTAGACGCCCAACTCTCTTCCACCAATGCATTCATCCGCCTAACACTGATCTTTGTGGAATCCCGACTACAGTGTTAACGCACACACACAGACACACACTCTCACTCACAAACACACATATGTATACACTTATACACAGACAGATACCCACACAGAAGACCAGATACAGCTTTTAGATATACGTTCTTTTTGTCTTCTTAACTGTTGATACAAAAATTCTAAATAGATGCCACAGAAGTTACAAGGCAAAAAATAAGAATAGAGTTTTTATTTTTTATTTTTTGTTTTTATCTTCATAAAATTGGGACAACAACAGAAGGCACTGGATGTGGAAATACGAACCAAGCGATATGCATCTCCAACGACGCCAACCACCGAATCAGGGACTCAAGGGTACTAGTGCTCGCAACAACCAACCCGCACACACTCCTAACACCAAAACACACACGATCAATATTTCTGAATGTGAGAAACGCTGTAGCGATTAGAATTCTCGTTGCCGTTCAACTGAAAAAAACATTCTTTCTGTGCCTTTCTTTGATGTCTGTCGTTGATGATTCTGAATGTGCTCTTCTAAAAGCTACACATACACACATATATAAACATCCAAAAGCACCGCCCTTCAAATTGACTGAAAATCCAGATTCCTCGTTCATGGGCGACGCAAGTACCCAAAAACCGCCTCTCTTGAAATTACAGATCTCCGTGGTTTCAACTACACACAACTCGTTCAAGTTTTTGTTCGTTCCCTGTTAGCATTAGCAACAGCGCAGTAAGAGCAGCAACAGCAACAGCACTTAGTTCTTCAGGTTCCCGAATTCGTTGATCATCAACAGTTGTCGATATCAGAAGTTCAAAATAGATAAAATAAATACGAACAAAAATACAATTCATTTCTTTTCCTTTTTTTATTTTTTTCTCTAGACTCTTCATTAGTTCCTAAGAAATTACCAATTAGGAACACCGAAGGTAACTGCAAAATTCAAATAACATATTAGGAGCTTACAGAGGAGAAAAATAGCAAATAAATATGTATACAAAAAAAGAAGGTCAAAAATGACCATAATGGTTTATATGATTTGCATAAACTGAAAATTTTTGCTTGCAACGAAGGGTAACCTAACCTTTTTTGAGTTTATATGAAAAGGAAGTCAAAATAGTCGAAAAAAAAGAAGAAAGAATAAAGCAAATGGCTTCAAATGCATTCATTTTTTTTTTTTTTTTGCTTCCTTCTTTTTTCTGATTTCTGAAATTTCTTTGTTTTTTTGAATAAAGCGTTTTACGTAATGGTTAAAAGAAGAAAATAAGTCAAACAACCTTTTTTTGCTTTCTCTTATACTTTTTTTTTTTGAGAATATAAAGATTAAAAAATTTTCTTTTCTTGAAAGTCAAATCCACCTCTTCAGTTCCACCTAAACTACAGCATCGAACATTATGACTGGAATCTTCGGCGGCCGTCGATTATTATCGTTGGTGCCATTCTGAAAGCTGGAGGGAGGGAGGTTGACGAGGCCGACGTATCCGAAACACAGCGTTAGCAACAACAGAGCCTTGCTCAGTATCAACGATGTCGGCTATTGGAAACTCCTGCTCCCTCTTCACACTCCTCTCCACCCTCCCACCCCTTTTGCTCCTCTCTACTGCTTTCCCGCTCTACCTCCCATCAGAAAGCAAAAAAAAAAAAAAGAAAAAAAAAAAGAGGGGAAGAAAAGGAATGGAATCAGAAGACCAAGTGAAGTGCAACGGGCATACGCACACATATACACTTGCACAACAAAGCTTTCCACAGAAGTCCATAAAATTAGCTTTCATTAAACTTTATGTAGAAGTTTTTGGTTAAAGGCAAAGTCAATTTTTGCCGAAATAAACTATTTAATTCTTTAATAGCCATTTTTTTCTTTTAGTTTTCGTTCTGTTGCACCTCATTTCCGCTTTTATGCTCCAGATTTCAATCTCTTTCTTAAGTGGTTTTTCCTTTATATGCTGCAGAATTTATGAAGCACAGTTGTTGTGACCGTCTTCTCCTCTAACGGCCCAAGCCAAATATAAATACAACAAAGAAAATGAATAAAATGGAGAAGAAAAAAAGAAAAAAAACTAAAATAAGACAAAAAAATTGCAGAGGGGAGAACAGAAAAAGAACTACTTCTTTCCTTTTTTTTTTGATGCACGGTAGTTCAGTATCGAAGTGGAAGGGATAGAAATTTTCAATTTTCAATGAAAATTTTCAATAAGGCATAATTTTGATGACGATTCTTGATGGATCAACGTTCATTTTTTTCTTCATTCTTTTTGCCGTCCAAAAACATCTCAGTGATGCTGTCTGCAATTTGATGAAGTAGAGAAGTCCTGTATATATCTTTTTTTTCGTTTTATTGCGTTTTTTTTTCGTTTGAAGTCACTACTACATTGATTCACTTTTCAAATATGAGCAAATCACCGGTTGCTGTTTAACTTCAGAGAGAAGAAAAAAGGAGAAGAGAACGAAGAAGAAAATGAAGAAGAAGAAGAAGAGGAGGAAGAAGAAGAAAAAAACGTGGGGAAACTCAGTTTTTGCTTCAAATATGAATTCCTGGCGACCAACAATAGAAAGTACCCTAAAAAGTTTACCACCTTTGAAGCTATGGGCGGGAGCTTTATTCTTTTTTTCTCTTCTTTTCTTATTTTATTATTAACAAAAGTCAACGTCGGCAAAACTAGGTGAATGAACGAAATCGAATTGAATGAACTGAACTGAACTGAACTGAAAGACTGACTGACTGACTGACTGACTGACTAAGTGAGTGACTTGCTGGGTGGATGGTTGGGTAGTCGGATAGATGGAAAAGTGCGAGTGGATGACTGAACCAACGGTTAGTCGGATGGCAAAAAGAGTGAAAAAAGCTCAAAAACAGATTCATTCATAAGGAAAACTGTTGAGTGTTGTAGACGGAAAATCCCATATATGGAAAGCAAGCAAATTGGAGGTTGACAGAGGCATGGGACAAATTTGAAAAAAAAAATTTTTGATGCCATACACAACAAACAGAGGCAGACAAACAACGGAGGAGCACACAGCAACCAACCAACACCAGATGGCGATTTGGAGCGACGTGACACAGAGCACACAGAAACACAAACACTCACTCATACATGCACACATGCACACAACTAACCCCATCCAACATAACTAACAAATACACAGAGAGGAGGAATACATCGTCATCGTCGTCATCGTCATCGTCGTCATCATCATCACCAACATCATCACTATCATCATCGTCATCATCATCACCATTCTTATCATCATCATCATCATCATCATCATCATCATCATCATCAACGACAACAACAACATCACTAACACTACTACCACTGCCACCACCAACAACACCGCAAATATAATCGGACTGCTGCTGCTGATGATGGTGCCAGTTGTATCACAGATGCAATCATCGTCGTCAACGACAGGGCATCATCAGGGCCATCCGTCCATCGCGGCCTTACATGCGTTTTTAACGATGTCAAGTAAGGCACCTGCAGACTTCCTCATGTCTCTCCGCTCCATTTGCTTACTTGCTTTCCCAAAAATTTTTCTAAATTTAGATGCGGTAGCAAATCATTTTTTTCTTCTAATTTGCTTCCCTTTTCCTTCCCACTTTTCCTCCATCGTCTGCACTGATCACCAAACAAATAACAACCATAATCCATTACCGTACAAAGTTTATGTTTATCTGTATTTCAAGTTGCTGTTGTTGTTGGTTGGTGTTAGACAAAGTCTGTTTATTAGTCCCTCTCTCTGCCTCCCTCCAATACAGCAGCCATATGCCAGACAAACTTTGTGCACCTTTTTTCTTGTCATTTTGGAGATGTTTTGGGAAGTCCCCCTCTCCGGCATTAGTTTTAAATGGATGTTAGTGAAAGATTCGTACCTGAAAGTAAGCCAAAGCAAATCACACTATAGTTGTCAACGTCTACCGATTGTTCGTCAGCGATCACTTAGGTCATTTTGAGACAGGGAGAAAATAACAGTAACAATTATGGCAATATCAGCAGCAACGACAGCAACGAAGATCAAAAATATATCAATGAAGCTCCTCCATTCACATATTGGCGCCTTTGGATGACGATTATAGAGATATTATTCAACTGTGAATAACGATTGTAAAAAAGCAAGAAAATGGGGGACTAAATTTGCAATCTTTTTGAGCTCCTCAACCATAAGGACTCATACACCTGCACTTATTCGTGTTAGGTCATATGTCAAAACAAGGTAAGGAAGGGGACATACCAGAAAAAAAAAGCAGAAAAAATTTGGAGAGACGCAAATGGTGATCGACTTTCTTTGCGAAGAACAAAAAATTTAATACCAATTAGGTTTTTTGAGTCTTACAATAAATGTACAGTTTTTCATAGTAATAATTTGGAAGAAAAGGACTATTTTATGTTACGTGTTCTGGACAATTTATCATCTGACTTATCGTCTGCATAATGCATTACAAACTTAAAGTTTATTTAACATCCTATAGAAAACAAATTCATTGTTAAAAAATTATTTTTTTTTTTCAAATTTCATTTCAGCGACATATTTCACTTATTTTCTATTTACTTTTTTGAATTTTACTTCAAAAAGTCTCTTATGAAGCCAGTGAAGGACAGGAAAGGAGGAAAGAGAAAAATGTGCAAGAATAATAGAG